CTCTGTGAATATACTAAAAATCATTAAATTGTGCACTTTATTTCGGTCAATTGTATGGTATATGAACTATATCTCAATAAAGTTGTTACCAAAAAGATATTATGGGGTGACAAGACTGACCAGTGAATACTTCATAAAGTGTTTTAAATAGCTCTTAAAATTGAGCAGGGACGTGTGAAGTATATTTTAGTTAAAAAATGAAATTTGGACATTGATGTAGGCCTGTAAAAAACCTTTTATTTAACATTAAATAAATCAGTGGATGGTTGGTAATAATAGCTTACATATATATATATATATGTGTGTGTGTGTGTGTGTGTGTGTGCGCATATATATATATATATATAAAGAATATTTTTTCATAATTTACAAAACTGATTTGTTTCAAATTAAAATAAGTTGAGATTTTAGATTAAAATCAGGTGAACTCTACTAATTAATTTCAATGTTTTAAGTAGTAAAATATTTTAAATAATAAATATAATATAGTAAGTTAAAAATTTTAGTTATATAAGGAAACTTAGGTCCTAACTCACTTTACCAATCACTACAAAATAAAAAAGCAATTAAAATAAACTAAGTGAGGTGTTGTTAATATTATAATTACTTAATTGATTCTCATACTTTATTATTATCATGTTGGCCATTTGATACAATACATAATAAATTGAGCAATTCATAATCACACACATTTAACTTGCCTGTTGAGATAAACAGGTTGGGAAGAAAGGGAACTAAAAGTGAAATGGAAAACTGTACGACATTAAAATTTTTAAAACACTGTGGAATATTTTTCTTCATTAAAACTAGAAAATTCCACACAAAATGGAGAAGACATGTGAAAAGATCAATATTTAAATAAAAGTGTGCTACAAATAGGCTATTGGATTTTTTTTAACATACCAGAATCATTTTGGGGAACACATATATAAAGCTAAAATTAATTATTATGCATATTCATAGAGTTCTAAGTATAATATAATAAAACTAGTGTAAAAGTTGAGTTATAAACTGAGGATCTTGTTTTTGCATCATTTCAGAAAAGTCTTTAAGTATATATAGATACATATTTAAATATACTACTTGGTATTTTTTAGTTCAAACCATATACTTCTTAACCTTATGCACACTATTTAATCTCTCTTGGTCTCTATATCCTCATTTGTAAAATTAAGGTAACAATAATATCTACTTATAAAGTGGTGATTATTAAATAGGTGATTGCACATAAAAACCTTGAAACACTCCCTGGTTCCTATTAAGACATGCTGGCTATTGTTCTTTTTAAAATTTTATCTCTATAATCAGAAAATGGTCCTATCTTTTAAACAAATAAATAAACAAGAAAACAGAATCAATCTTAACTAAGTTGGCAATTTCCCTTATTTTTCTATTGTGATCATTAGTTTTTCACACATCTTTTATGATCTCCTGGATTTTAATTTGGAGTTAGATCTCCTGTGATGGCGAAGTTTTCTTTAGGCAGTTTAGCACTATAGGCCATTTACAGTGATCAGTTATAAAAAAGAAAGACATTGTTTAACAAATTTTAATTTCTGAGACACAAAACAATTATCAGCACAAGAAATTGTCAGAGCAACATGTGCTCTGAAACTTCATTAACATCTGATGTTTTTATTTATTTATTTATCTTTATTGTTGAGAGTATTACAGGTATACCATTTCCCCCCGCAACTGACGCCCTCCACTTCGCTCCCACCCCCTCCCCAGGCCTTCACCCTGTTATTGACTGTGGCCATGGGTTATGCATATATGCATATAACTTTTTTGATTAATCTCTTCCCACCCTCCACTCCCCTTCTCTCTTTCCTCTGAAATACGATAGTCTGTTGCATGTGTCAATGTCTCTGGATCTATTTAGTTCATCAGATTCTTTTGTTCATTAGCTTCTTCTTAAAGAATACCCTTCAACTTTTCCTGTAGTGCTGGTCTGGTGGTGATGAACTCCTTTAGCTTTTTCTTATCTGTGAAGCTCTTTATTTTAAATGATAGCTTTGCTGGGTAGAGCAGTCTTGGTTGTAGTTCCATGTTTTTCATCACTTTGAATATTTCTTGCCACTCCCTTCTGGCCTGCAAAGTTTCTGTTGAGAAATCAGCTGACAGTCGTATGGGTGCTCCCTTGTAGGTAACTAATTGCTTTTCTCTTGCTGCTTTTAAGATTCTCTCTTTGTCTTTAACCTTTGGCATTTTAATGATGATGTGTCTTGCTGTGGGCCTCTTTGGGTTCCTCTTGTTTGGGACCCTCTGTGCTTCCTGGANTAGGTTTTCAATTCCTTGGTCTCTTTCTGCCTCTTCTGGCACCCCAATAGTACGAATGTTGAGCCTCTTGAAGTTGTCCCAGAGGCTCCTTATACTATTTTCATATTTCTGGATTCTTTTTTCTTTTTGCTCTTCTGGTTGGGTGTTTTTTGTTTCCTCATGTTCCAAATTGCTGATTTAATTCTCAGCGTCCTCTACTCTACTGTTGATTCCATGTAAATTATTTTTCATTTCAGTTCCTGTAGCCTTCATTTCAAATTGGTACTTTATTATGTTATCAATTTTCTCAGTTATTTCCCTAACCATGTGCTTAAACATCCTTGTAACCAAAATTCTGAACTCTGTATCTGTTAGCTTGCTTGGATCTATTTCATTTAGTTCCTCTTCTAGAGATTTTTTCTTTTCTTTCCTTTGTGACAGGTTTCTTTGCCTCCACATTTTGGCTGCTTCCAGGTATTTGTTTCTATGTATTAGATAGAACTGCTGTGTCTTCTGGAATATGTAGAGTGGCTTTGTGTAGTAGGTGTCCTGTAGGGTCCAGTGGCTCAGCCTCCCCAGTCACCTGAGCTGGGCCTTCTAGGTGCTCCCCTGTGTGGGCTGTGTGCACTGTCCTGTTGTAGTTAAGCCTTGGTTGCTGTTGGAGTCATTGGGAGGAACTGACCCCCAGGCCAATCAGCTGTGAGGACCAGCTGCAACTACAGCCAAAGAGCTGCTGTGCTGGAGACACCCCTATGGAGCAGGATCTGATTTTTTTAAAACCTAAGAATATTGGCTTGCAATTAACTTCTAAAAATGATTTTTATGTGACATTGTTACTATCATGTCAGGCGAGATTAATAAATAGGCTTCAGCATTTACAAAATGAATCTGTATATGCCTATGTATTCTGCAGACTATCTCTGTCACCCTCCCTCCATTAAACATCCATTCCTGCCCTGACCAGTGTGGCTCAGTGATTGAAGCATTGGCCAGAGAACCGAAGGGTTGTAGGTTCAATTCCTGGGCTAAGTCTGGGCGCAGTCAGGAGGCAACCAATCAATGTGTCTCTCTCACATTGATGTTTCTCTCTTTCTCTCCTCTTCCTCCTCCTCCTCCTCCTCCCTCCCTCTTCTTTCTGCTCTCTCTAAAAATCAATGGAAGAGAATATCCTTGGGTGGGGATTGAAGAAAACAAGACAAAACAAAACAAAAATACATCCTCTACTTTTGCACTACATTCAAAGTTTAGAGTCACATTTGTAGACTGCTGTTTTAAAAACAAACACTATGACTAGGTAGGGAATCAATATTTTAGGTAGGGAATCAATATTTTGTAAGATTTTTTAGACGCAAGGACTCCAAAAAAGAGTATGAGTTAGGACCAGGTGGATATGAATGGTATCAGATCTGCACAAAGGCAAATCTGTTTAAAATTTATAGGAGTTAGAGGAGTCTTGACAGAATGAATTAGTCAAGATTCAATTTTTAAATAATTTATTTCAAGCATACTTTCTTTGTTCTTTAGGTATTTTAACGTAATGTTATTTTGCAAATTTTATTTATGAGTATAGATTAATGTTAATAATTACTCTAGTTACCATTAGAGGGGAGAAATATAAAGGAGTTATTGGTCTTTATTGGATTTTTGCCTCTAGTATTACTGGACAGCTCTTACTACAAGAAACTTCAAGGTACTAGTCAAAGTTTTATCAAGTAATTAATTACCCTTAGTGGAAACTAAGGACCAGAGAGTCTAAACTAAATTGCATAATTATTGAACATATTGAACATATGTGAATAAAGAAAAGCAACTCATTTTCTAAAAACATGAGGAATCACATTTGTGAATTTTCTATAGTTTTTCAGGATCAAGAGTAAGACTAGGAAAAGAGAAAACAAATCTGTAGGCAAAAGGAAATAATGGCCTTCATTTGCTTAAGTTTCTAAATAGCCTCAGGTAAAATCTTTGAGCTACTAAAAAAAATCAAGAAACTACAAAAGCAAAACTTGAACATTTACTTAGAAACTTGAGGCAAACATTTGTTCATAGATTTAAGATTAATTTTAAATAGAAAAAATAGATTTCATAATACAGAAATGTTAATAACATAGGCATATCCAGGAACTGGTATTAGAATAACCTTATTAAACATCTAGAAGAGGGAGAATAATGTGCCATCTCCCATTTACATTCACCAGTAGTAACGTCTCTTCAGTGAAAGAAGTCTCCAATTGTAACAGTATCATTGGAGGCTTTCATTAGTCATGCCAGATAATTTCCAGCACACTTCTGGAAACAGGAGTGCTATTTTGTAAACAGAATGGTGAATATAAGTCTACTCCTTTATGATGAATATAAGTCACTCCAATTTCATACAGGCTGAAAATACAGAGGTGAGGTGAGACTTAGACTCCTTGAGACTCTAAAGCAGGAGTTTTTAACTTGAGATCTAGAATATGATTTGAGGAGTTAGTAAACCCTCTGAAATTGTGTACAAAATTGTACATGTACCTTCATGAAGCACCCTGCTCTTATGGGATTCTAAAACCATTATGGGACAACACTGTAAGATAGCCATATCCCATCTGGTCATTAGAAATGAGACAAATCATTAACATTCACATAATTGAGCATCATTCAACCATTGGCACATACTTATTCACCAGGAGATTGATTGTAAATTCAGTAACCTTGTGACTATTTATTACTTACAACAGATAGAAAAACATTTTAAAATTTACCTGCAAGATTGTCAATTTCTTTCTCCTGTAGCAGACTGACTGCATCATCATCTCCTTCCAGCATAAGCTCTGTCTCTGCATTCTGATTCACTATTGCTTGACTTCTGAATGTTTTCTTCGACTTCACTACATCTTCTTCAGTGCCTAGTCACAAGCAAAATACAATAATTTGGGTTATTGTGATTGATTTGCTTTCAGTGAGTATTAGAAATAATCTAATACTTTTTTACAATTATATGCCACATTTACACATTACTCTACAAGTATAGAACATTTTTACCTTCTTTATCCTGTTTGATCTTCTAAATAACTGAGAGAAAGATGATGTAATCTCCCACCTTTGTTTTACAGATGAGGAAACAGGCTGACAAAGCTACATGCCTGTAGAGACCTAGGACTTGGCTGGTGGTAGACAAAGGTCTCTATAACCCACATCTTGGGGTTCTAAGGTCACTGCACTTTCTATAAAAAGTCTGCATCTCACCAAAAACTTGGTTTTCTGATCCATAAAATTATACAATTTTACACCACTATACCTTTGTGTGAATTAGATAATCAAATGATCAGATCTTTTGAAAAGATAAATAGGTATGAAGAACACAAAAAAGCATTCACATTTGAAGGGAGATATGTTTATTATTGGGAAGCTACAGAAAGGTGGAGTCAGGAATGATGTAGACATAAAATGTACATCACAACAGCTATTTCTTTAGCAATTAATAAAATAATGGTTTTCTAAGGTGATATCCTGACTTCGTTACATAAAATAGTAAAAAAGGCCAAAATCCAAAACACACAAAAATAAGTAAGAAAAATGCAAATATAGCAAAAGTTTACCTAGCATTAATAGGTCAATCAATATGAAGGTTAAAAAGTGAAATTCATTTGAATCTCTCATGGATTTGACTGCTTAACAAATATTTACATTCAAACACCTGCTTTGGTGTTTATATATATATGAAATATATCTACTTCATATCACTGTTTTAGGATGTAGGCTTCAAGGAGCAGCATTAACTGGGAAAACATTGTCACATCTCATTTGGTGTAGTGGATATATTCCTGAAAATGGGAGCTTAACAAATCACTCTTATATGATGTTGTTGTATCATACTTCTAGGGGATGTTATGATATTGTGCACACATGCAATTACTCTTCAAGTATTGTCATACCTTTGGCCAAACCGTTTGACAATTAATAATACTTTTGGTCAATTTTCCCAGGCCCAATAGAGAACTTCCAACAACAGTCCGTTACTACCTGTTGATATCTGCACCACCATTTTCTTGGAAGTGCATCCAGCTGCTGTGAAACTTGCATTGTATAAAATAGCCCTTTTTTCTGAAGCTTGCACACTTTTCTTTTTTTTTCTTTCTTTTTAAAAACTATATCTTTATTGATTTCAGAGAGAGGAAGGGAGAGGGAGAGAGAGAGATAGAAACATCAATGATGAGAGAGCCACTCATCGGCTGCCTCCTGCATGCCCCCCAACTGGGGATTGAGCCCGAAACCCAGGCATGTGCCCTGACTGGGAATCGAACCTCGATCTCCTGGATCCTAGGCCCACGCTCAACCGCTGAGCCACGCCTGGCCGGGCAGCACTCTTCTTTCTGTCAGTGACTCAAGAGTCAATTCTGTTTGCTAAAACATTAACAAATTGACTCAAGGGTAGCCCACAGAAGATTAAAAAATACATGTTGAGGAACACAGTCATGTGACAATAGTACTGTGGAGTGTCACTGGCTGAGGAATACAGTCTGTCACCCTAGCTGTTACTGGATAGTAGTATTTAGAGAGCATGGTTAAAATATAGCTTAACAGTATAAAGTAATAGATTGTTTAATATATATTTTGATAAATACTCCAGAGACAGAAGTATTATTATAAATCACTGTTACACAGGAGACCAGGGGAATTAAATGGATTATATGTGCATTCTTCTTTCACTGGTACATAGACAATTTTTATTTCTAGAATAAAAACTTAAGGATTAATTTCTGAATGGTCCAGAACCTTATCTTAATTTTATTTGGTTTTAATTGATATAAACCAGCACAAGAGTAATCTTCTGGGTGTAGCTATCTTTATAATGTAAATTTGCTGCTTCAGTAATAACTTAATTAGTGAAACCCAGAGCTTGCACCATCTGAGAACAAGAGAGGCAAATCCAGTGATTGTTAACCTAGAAGTCTCTCTTGAGGTTTTTGTAGCCATATAAAGATCTCAAGAGAGATCTTTTACTAGACATCTTCAACTGGATATTCTTAATTCCACATTTTCCTACCTGAACAAATCATCTCCTGCTCCTCCACCTCCTCCTTTTTTGATCAACCCGCTTACTGAAGGGACAAAGGTAGAATTCATCCTGCAAGGTGACTGCCTCTGCCCTGGCTCAAACCATCATAGTTTGGCCTATAGGTTTTCCACAGCTCCCTTATTCACACTATCCTCTATGCTTTTGTCTGTGTGATTATTATAAAACACAAATAAGTCAAGGATATTTCCCTGCTTAATATGGCTTAATAAATTTTCCCAATCAACGACACTGAGTGCAAAGATTATACCTTTAGGATAAAGTCTAAACTTCTTAGCATGGCTGATTAAGGTCTTTTATCTTCTTACTATCAATTTTTCATTATCTTTTCTTACTACCCCATCAGCAATATTGGACCATTTATAGCTTTCAAAATACGTCCTGCTTTCTCAGACCCCTTTACCTGTGCTGTTATTTCCTCTGTATGGCATGTTCCTTCCTTCCCCCTTTGTTTGGCTAATTCCTACTTGACTTTCAAAACTTACCTCCTTCACGTGCCTTTCCTAATCAAACCCTCTGTACTTTCACAATTTACACAGAACTCAGCTACACTCTATAGGTGCTATCTGTCGTGTTTGTCTTCTCCACTACACGATAGACTAATTTCTTCTTATTTTACTTTTATTAGTATTTATTGTATGCTGAATTTACTTCTGAGCCATAAGATTTTGTTTCTTCAGTTTCTTCTGAGATATCTTTTTCTTCTGTGCAACCTGCTCTTCTGCTTTAGGAACAATCTGCTCCTTTGCAGTAAGAACCATCTCCATGTGGCAGGGAGAGCTCCCGTGTGGGTTAATCTGCCCATGAATTCTGTAAGTTTTGCACTGCATCTTGGGAGCTTTTTTCACCTGGATGTGCTCAATGACCAGAGATTCTACATCTAAACCCTTCAGCTCAGCATTACTCTCTGCACTTTTAAGCATTTGAAGCAAAAGTTCAGCACTCTTTTAGAGCCACTGAATTTGGGTCCATCCCCACTGTATGGCCTGGGCACACCTACTAACTCCACCACTGTAAGAACAGAAAGTCACACATTCTTCAGATATTTGGTGGTTTTTCTCATATGCATACCCTTGATGACCTAGGCAGTTTCTTGAATGTTCTTAAAGTGAACATGAAGATTTGAACCTCTTGATTTGCATGATTTTGTGGATTTTTTTTTTTGTGTCAAGCGAATAGTGAACAATTTTCAGAAGTCACCTTGGGCAGCTTATAGGAAGAAGCTGCTATAGGCTAATTTCTGCAGCCTCAGTGCCTGCCACCAAGCAGGTGCATCACAAACATTTGCTGAATTGAAGTTCAAGTCCACCAATCCTGTGTTCCACTCTCTTAATTTTTTAAGGTAGGTTTTTGTGTTCCTTCCCTTATGCTTCCACCACATCTCTCAAATCCTGCTACTGTAGTAGTTATCAGTATTGTAACTATTTGCTTGTGTCCACAGAGCCTGGAAGCTCTTGATGACTGGAAACATGCTTCTGTCTTTGTATTCTCAGTCCTTAGCATCCTGCCCGCCACCGAACAAGTCCTGATAAATACTGAATAAGTGAATAAACTGAGACATAAAAGTTACCTATGGATATTTCTTAATCTGAACATCTCAGGATATCTCAGAGACTCTTGACGATATGCCTTCAGATTGGGAGAAAATTCAAGAATCTATGTATTTATACAAAAGGGAATTTGTTTCTTTATATAAAATAGTCAATAAAGCCCTATATATATATATGAGTCAGCTTAATAAAGCAAGTTTTTCCTTGTATCACAACCATGTGTAATCTTTGTCATTAAAAAAAAAAAAAAAGCTTTACATAACTCTTGTTACTAAAATTCAAACCTATCAATAAAAAATGAAAGTGAGCTCTGAAATTTATATTACATTTTTACTTTTATCCCCTCTAGTTTTAAATCAGTAAAACAAATGTCTTTTAATATATATATAGTAAACTAATCCATACCAACACACTGAACTTATCCTTCCTGTTGAAGTGTTATCAGTTTGCAGCTCAGTAAACTTCCTGATTTTTATGGCACTGCAGCAAACATTTATCTAAATTAAAGTGTATGAGATGCAAAAGTGCTTTTCAATCACAATATCCTTTATGAATTAGAGCTTCATTCATCAAAATTACAGGCAAAAAGAGGTAAGGTCTCAGAGGGCTGTCTCATTACAAGGCTTATAAACACTGTCCTTAGAAAGAATTGGTTTAACACCCAACAAATCAAAATCTGATTGGGAAGAGAATTTATTTGAGATCATCTATCGTTAGAAGACAGAAGATAGTTTGGACTGAATGCACTTCTTGGCCTCTTTAGCCATTCATCAAGAAATTAACAAGCAAATACCACAAACCACCAGAATGCCTTAAATTTGCAAATGTGAACTATGTGTAAAGCGGGATATACATATACACTTATTTTCTAAGAAAATATTAAAATGCCATAAAGTTTATAAGATTTCAGAATTTTAAAAATGCCTCCAAATTATAGATTAATGAAGCCAAATACAAAATTGCACTTATTTTATTTTCAACATCATGCTACAAATAAATATAGGAAAGCACTGGATATACACTAGATTCCTCTGTAAATATATTATGCTTGAAGCTCTTTATGTGAAAATGTTATCTAATATAGAATACTGCATTACATGAATCTACATAAAGCTCTTGTTTCATAAAAATTCTCTTAATAAACAAGGATCCATGTGAAACAAAGTATATTTTAAAAGTGAAATAACAAGAAAACTAAAATATATCTAGTACTGTTACTACACTCTACTATTACCAGTATTATAATTGTATTATTATCATTTAAAATTCTTCTATTGTT